CGGCGCGAATGGGTTAAAAGCATACTATTATTTAAATCCAGAATATTGTGAATGTCACATAGTATGATTTCTGCTGTAATTATCACATTTTTCTTCACAAGTAATATATTACCAGAGTGCCATGCCAGAAGGTTGACAATAGCATAAAAGTAAGTCAATTGCCAAATGTATTGCTGTATAGTCTCAAGGGCATGAAATGTCTGTGCTTTGTATTCAATACAGGAAGCTATTTACAAAATGCTTTTAAAGTGGATGTTTGCTTGATATTTATTTTGACATGAAAGTCTTGAGTTGATACTTAATCCCTAGAGAGAGTTGATACTCGGAAACACATTCCTTTTTTATGGTCCCATTCACATGAAACAAATGGGCAACATAGCAAAAGTAGCCCTATGTCCCAGTTTGTGACATTATCTTTATTATATGTTATTATTATTATTATTATTATTAATTATTATTGTTACTACTACTACTACTATTCTTATTATTATTATAATCATTGTTAATATCATAATGATTCAATTTATCATCACTATTTTTGTAGAAATATAAACTTGAGATAGCTGTCAAAAATAGCCTGCTCCACACAGATTTGAAAGCTGACCCTAAAACTAGATGCTTAAAGAAAGTTAATAAATATACAGCAATTATTGATCAGTAACATACATGCATTAGATATGATGATTAAAAAGCAATTGATTCATAAATTACTTTGCTTTGTGTATGATTAAAGTAGTAGTGTTTGAGAGTGCAGTTCAGTAATAGATTTTACTGCATATGTCGTAAAGTTTACCTGTTAATACATGTTTTATTGCTTGTTTGATTTTACTGTGCTCAATTTTATTGTTTTTGTATTTTGTAATGCTTTTTAAAGTTTGGTTTACCTTTTAAGTGTGACTTTGATGATATAAATGTCTCCTTGATGAAATATGCTTTTATTAAACAAGATGGAATGGCATAGAACATCATTATATTAGATGCACACTCATATATACTCCCTTACTCACATATACACCATACCTGCACTGCAACACATAACACAATGTCATATCAAGTCACATAATGCAAATAATGATACACAGCATTGTGATACACTATCAGTATACCCCCCTGCCCCCACTTACTTTGTTAGAAGGATTGTACAAAAGTAAAGACATTAGTACTTGAATTTTCAAAGGATATTTTTAATTATTTTCTGTACAGTATATCTGGATCATTGAATATATAATTTGTAACATATATTTATTATCACTATACATTGTATCAAATTAGGATACAACATAAATACTTTTCTTCATATTAAAAAAAAACTTATAAGGAAATTACAGAAACTATTTTTTTCTCTCTCTAAAAGTAGTATTTGTATATATATTACTAATTGATTTGTATTTTCTTATACTGTATTGATTTTGTGTTGTATTTGATAAGAAAGTACTTCTTGATTGTGTTTTATTATTATTATTATTATTATTATTATTATTATTATTCTGCTTTTGATTACCTACCTATATTTTGGTAATGATTTTGAGATTGTCTGTGTTTGCTGCAAATTAATTTATTTAGGTATTAATATTTTTCAGCATAATTTTCAGAGCTTGATACTATTATAGTACAGGTCATGCCGTAAGTAGAAAGCTAGAGCACCCTTTGTTATCTGGATTGGTTGCAGAAATTCTGCTTATATACTATACATATGTACCCTGAACTATGTTATAAGACAATAAACATTATTTTTGACATAAGTCCTTATACCAAGTGAGCTTCAACTGTACATTGTGACAATATGTTTACATAGCAAATTAAAAAGATTTCACTCATCTTGGATTTAAATGAAATGAAATATCTAACTGATATCTATGCAGAAGCTTTCCCAGTAAATTTTAGGTTTACTCAATGAAACGTGTGTTCTGAATTTGGATGAATTAAATAAAAGTTCAGTATACTATATTATTTTGACATTAATAAAAGTGTACTATATTTACTATATGTTTATTTTTGAAGTGATACTAGAGAGAACATTTTCCATAAATCATGATAGTTTTGCATATTATAAGGTGCTACTTCACTTGTTATACGAATATTTAATAAATGAGAATTACAATCATGCAGATAAGTTTTTTTTCTAGATGATCATACACATATTGTTTTGTGTCTGTGTTTCGAGTTTTAGGATTTTTTTCATGGTGAAGAAAATCTATCATTATTTGTGTCAGGGCATGTAGAAATTGTAGGAGTTTAGGAAATACTAGGTAGCTGTTGGTGTAATTCAGACCTTGGTTTCATGGACCTCCATTTAACAAATATCATCAGCAACAGACAAATTGCACAGTTTTGGCAATACTAGACACAAACCACTGCTTATTAGCTAGCTATCTGCTAATAAGCAGTTCTGTCACTTAGTCTACAGGGGTGTGAACACATGTGTAGGTTATTCCTTTTGTGTGTATGTGTGTGTCAGTGTCTTTTAGTCATATAGTGGTATAGTATTTGTCATTTTCTA